GCTCCCATCTTTTTCTTTCTGCCCTCTGCACATGCTCTTTCCCAGGCCTGGTCCTTTTGTCTCTGCTGTGCCCCCTGCCCCCCCAATTCCTCCTAATAAAGCTCTCTGTAACTAAGTAGTTGTGGCCGTGGCTCGGTGACCTTTCTGCTGGTAACCCGTGCCGCCACCAGCGCCATTTATCATCTTTTCAGTCCTCAGTAGCTCTTCAGACTCTTAAGGAAAACCCAATGGGGGAAAAAGTTTTACCTATGTAATTTTTTTCGTTTGTGACCTACATACTCATTTTTCTCCTTTTTTCAATAAAACTATGTTTTGTTTAAAAAAAAAAAGTTACAAGATGTAAAGAACTCCAGGTACTAGGCCACAAACAAGAATACTTTGGAGGTCAGTACTGATGGGTAAACTGTTCCGTGACAATGTAGAGCTTAAGTGTCAAGGCCAAATATTTTCTTCAAGGCTTCTTAGCCAAGAATGGATTTTGCTTTTGCTTTTACATTTTCTTTTCTGAGTCTCAACTGTTTAGCCCTATACGCAGGGCTTGCCTGGAACTAGCTTTACAGGCCAGGCTTGCCTTGAACTCAGAACGATTCACCTGACTCTCCCTCAGTGCTAGGATTAAAAGTGTGTGCCACTATGCCTAGCTGATTTAAAAAAAAAAAAAATTTGAAGTGAATGGAAAACAAAATAATTTCATGACACGTGAAAATCACATGCAATCAGATTTTGATGCTAATAAATTTTTATTGAAAAACAGCTGTACTCATCCATTACAAATTGCTTATGGCTGTTTTCAAACCAAAAAGCTGTGTAGTTGTTAACAGAAATTGACTGTCCACAGTTCAAATCATTTACATCTTGCCCTCTATTGAATAGCCTCCAATTTCTCTAGGAACTGTGGCTCAGAATTTGCTGGGATTTAAATCTTAGGAACATCCTGGGATAATATTTTATGATCTTTATTATTATTTTTTTTGCATTTTCCATAAAATGTGTAATGTGTGGAAGGAGACACAGTTCATAAATGCAAAAAAAAAAAGACCAGCTATATTAGCTTAAAATTGAGTCTCTTAATTTTTTTTTGAGCCAGAAGAAATTGATTTCACATGAAAATAAATATTATGGAGATAACTATTTGAAACATGATTGCATTATTTAAGAAGTTACAAGCTTATAGCATGGAAACATTGATAAAAATAGGCACCAGAGAAGAAATTTACACAATTGGCCAATATGTACTGAATCTATTCTGTGTTGAATCAACACATGGCTAGTTTCTACTTTGGTCAGTATTATATAATGCAGAGGGTTTTAACTAAATAGTTCATTAATTAAAGTGAGAAACAACATTTCTGTTTGCAAACCCAACTGAGTTGAAAGGTACATCTATCAAACTGCTGTAAAACACAGAAATTGGTTTAATGTTTCAAATACATTCCCAACAGGGAATATGGACCAAATAGAAAAATTTTTTAAACTTAAAAATCTTTAATAAGCTATTAAAAATAACTGAAGATCTTTTCTAGTATTTTACAATGTTATAAAAGCAAGAATTATAAACATTGACATTTCAAATACAATTTTACAAATTTTACATTATTTACAAATTCTCTATACTAAAAGCTGTTAAAAATAAGCTTTCTTTAAAGATCAATTTTAACTTGATATTCAAGTGTTTCTTAAGAGAATACAAAGTAATGTCACCAACTATCATGGCTGGAAAAGAACAACAAAAGCAAGTTTGGGCCAAGAATTGGTAACAGCGTGAATTCAGACTTTTATAAGCAATTTTCAGTTTACCTAAAAGTACTTTTCTTAAACACATTTTGGATTTTAACAACCAATGGTGGGCCTTGTCAAGCCACTGAGTTTATCAGTTTACTAAGTTTTAAAGTAATTATTACAAAACTTACTCATTTAGAGATATTATAAAGACAACTAACTTTGTAGCTGTCAATTCTCTGGAGTAGGCATTA